AGATATGTTATCAGTTAGCTTTGATTGTTTAACAATAAAAAATGAATATTTGGTCAAAAAATAACTTGCTTGCCATGATTTTTTTAACAGACGAAATCTGTTTGAATTTTTTGGCAGATGGGAACAAGAGTTGGAATCTTGCATAGTCAAATGTAATATAATGTATCCAAATTTTGTCCCCAGTCCTCTAAAAAATTTTCATTATCACAGATCACAGCAAAGTTTGCAAAATCAGTACTATTCAATGTGCTTATGGTTTTCATTGAGCTGATTTGGAACCCAATGTGCACATTGTTTTTGGTATCTAAGAACTTTATGACCAATTCTATGGATCTTTGACAACTTCCATATTTTAACCTTCAATCATTCTGTAACATTTCTTCCACACATTCACTGTTCTGTGACGTTTTTGGCTTCCCACTTCTTTCTTGATCTTGCAAACATGTGTCCATCTTTATATTGAGAACACCATACTGTGATCTGTTTTGCAATAATGCATTTTTACCATAAATTTCAGCAATTATGAATTTCTGTAGGAGACAATTGTTTAGTGTAGAGAAAATAAATTACACAATTTATNAATTTACGTAGAACAAAATTAAATTAAATTAACTGCGGTTGCGTAGAACGTTGGAAAAATAAAAATAAAAACAAAAAATACATAAATAAATAAAAATAATGCCTTCATCTCGAACTTATTCATTAACTTGTGTTATTGTAAAACGACCTCCAAGCAGTTGCCAAACCTTCAGCATCTCTATGATTGATACATCCCGTGGCTAAATGCGCTTTATGTATTTCTATTTTTTCAAGATGCTTCACCGCTTGTAACGATCTCGTGGCCCTAACTATCGCCGCACTATCCCAGTATACGGTTACATCTTGTTTTTTGGCAAACGCTGCCAGAACCGTACTGTCGATGTTCTTATCCATGGAATATTTATGCTCTTTTAGCCTTTGCCTTAAACTCCGCATAGTTGCCCCAACATACACGAGGTTGGTATTAAAGCGACGATCCTTTATAGGTATAGAATATATACCCGTTAAACTATTGCGATTATCCTTCTTCTTGTCATTCCTTAACAATCTATATACAGTTGGATTGCGTCGATAAATAATTCGTAACTTATTTTTATTGGCAACTTTCCTAATTATCTTGTTTAGAAATGGAAAATAATTAATAACTACATTTTTTCTTTGCTCTATTTCGGGAGGCTGCTGGTTTTGTATCTGCATTCTTTTAATAAGTGCCTCAATCTCTTTTCTGTGGTACCCCTGTTGGGTAGCAACTTTTTGTATGTAATCCAATTCCTCGTATGTATCAACTAAACTCGTGCAGTGGGTATACGCTCTTTTAATCCACGCTCTAAACGCCGCATATTTAACTTGCTTAGTATCAATCGAATTCTTTGGAATGATAATAGGTTGATAAACCGGTTTTCTATATATGCCTGTCCATATTTCTCCTTCCTTACAAGTAATCGATATATCCAGGAAGTTAACATTCTTCTCGCTTTCCTGGTCCAAACCCAAAGTCAACCCATATGGGTTATCGTTGATCCTTTCCATAAAATTCTGTGTGTTATCAGCATTTTTTCACAAGATGAAGATGTCATCGACGTACCTGGCATATATTATTATATAGCAGTAACTGATGAAGGCCGATAAAATCGGTCGAAAACATTATTAGAGAATTAAATATTATTGCTGGACTGTTATAGAAGGTGTTGTTTACTTATATTATTTATTCATTCAATTATTTTTCTTTTAAAAATGTTAGCACATTTAATTAAATTAATATGATTTTATATTTAATCTATAATTTATGTTCATATAATAATTTTTAATTTTTGATAATTTTTTAAAATTCTAGATTAAAGTAAAAAATATTGAAGAAGAAGAAACATCAGATCAAGAAGAGGAGCCACTCGATAAAATAGAAATATATTCAGAAATGTTAAAATTGATGAAACCGGGAGAAACAGTAAGGAAAGCCATTTGCAGATTGGGTGGTGGTAAATCGTCATATACGACGGCATCGAATAAATGGAAAAGGAAAAAAAACAAAGACAAATCGGATGATGATAAAGAAAGCCTTTTGCAACTTATAAGTTATACGAATAAAATATTTTTAACTGGAGAAATGGACATATATGAACAATTATATGAAAGATTGAATTTTCTTATTAAAGAAAGTAAAAATTGTATATTATATAAATGTTAATATACATGACCATACAAATTTACTCAATCTCAACTTCAATATCATATGTTACCTAGAGAAGAAACTATGATGATGATAATTGAATTTTTATTCACCTAAATAATTTAGATGATTAAAATATATATACATATATTTTAATTATGTATAAATATAAAAATAAAATTACCTTAAACATAACATTTCTTATGCCCACTTCACTTGTTTTCATAAATATACAAGTTTTTATCTATAAAATAAATATTTTAATTTTATATATTTATATAAAAAAATTTATTAACTAAAACAAAATTTCACAACCATACCAAATAACTAAATTTATTTTCATTTGTAATCTTATCATTAGCATAGCATAATTCATTATTCAGAGATAAAAAATAAAACAAGATGTTTTAAGTTTTTATTTAAAAATACATTTAAATTAATATTTAGATTATTTTATTTCACAAATTTTTTGTAAGGTGAATGAGGAAAATGTTAATTAAAAATTTATGCACCTGCAATTAAAAAAATTAAATGTTTAACTTTTTTTCTTTTTTAGATAAGCTCTGCATTTGTAACGTTACAGAGATATTTTATTAAATTGACTGAATTTATAGTTACTTTATAATAATATTGTCATTTAATATTTTTTTGTTGGATATAATTGATAATTTTAAATTATTCAATTTTATATGATCCTATGGCAAATCAATTCTTACTTTTTGGGAAGGTGTTATTTCTCCTAGTTGAATATTGTTTACAAATTGAACAGGTTCTT